ACAAATAATATTTACATGTAGTGAAATTAGGATTTTATCAGTTTAAAATTAAATCGACGTAGATTAATTTAAATATAAAATAATAAATTTTATACGAACGAAAAATTAGGCTAGAATTTATTCAATCAAATATTTTTTTACATATTTTTTAATTAAAAAATAACTAATAAAATCAACAAAAAATTAAAAGAAATAATAAATCTACGAACGATAATCATTTACCTAAATTGAAGTTAACAAAATTAATAATAATACACAATTTTTCATAAAATTTAGTTTTTTTAATTACATCAGATAGTGAATTAGATTGAATTGAAATTTTTAAATTCCTCAACTTCTCGTTGAACATTATACCAAACATTATTTAATCTAGTATGGATTCACTTTAAAGTAAAAAATAAATTTTTTTTTCTAAACAAACTTATTATTTTTTCATTCAAAATTTTAATGACATTTACATTAAAATTTTTTAAAAAATAAATTTAAAAGTGGAACTATTAAATTATAACAAGAAATATATTTAATATCAAATTGTATCATGAATCGTACTTTGAAAATAAATGAAATATTTACCTAAATTATAATAATACATTTAATGTTTCATCCTTTTTTTTTTTTTTGAAAATTTGAATTTACTATTCAAATTCCACATGAAATTTCAAATGAAGTCAAATTCTATAATTTTTCAAAAAAAATTCATAATATTATAATAATTATGTCTGGATCTAAGTAGAGTTTATTTGTAACTTCATATTCATTGTAATTATGAGATAGATAAATAATATTATTAGATGATAAAAAATTTGCTAATTTAAAACTTTATGCAAAATTATTATACATTACACAAGCATACATATAGATATGACATTTCTTTGTTATTACATAAGCATATCTATACAAATAGTTGTTTCTATAATTATTGATAAAGATCTAAAATGAACCCATAAGAATTATTTACTCTCTTGCAATACAAGAAATTTCACACAAACTAAATTCTTATAATTTTATATAAATTTTTTATCTTATAATTTAAATAAATATAAATTTATTTTAAAAATATCATAAGATGATAATGTTTATAACAAGTGAACTTTATGTATGTAATTCCATTAGAAAATTCTAACTATAATCAATCATAAAATAATAGAAAATTATACTTAGAATTATAAATTTGTAATCATATTATAGTTAAAATAATTGGATGGTTTTAAACGAATTTACAAACAAAATTTATTTGTTAAAGAACATATTCATAAATTTTTTCAAAATTTGTCAAATTCTAAATGGTATTCAAAATCTTAACTTGGAAGAAATATGTACAAAAGAAAAAACACATAATATATAGGTTTTATATTTTATTTAATTCTTTATGTTTTGTTTTATATTTTACACTTAGTTTTAGTATGTAAGTTTTACCATGTTATATTTTGAAAAAATAATATATAATTTGAAAAGTATTACTTCCCATTCTCCACGGCCAAACATCATTCTCAAATACTACTCTTATTAATTAATTTTTAAAGAAAAATAAAAATAAAAGAGGTCAGAAACCATTACAGTTCACGGTATATATATAAATGTAGTGAAATAAAAAAGAAAAATGAAGATCAACAAAAAAAAAAAAAAGCATCTTTATTCTTTGACATTTACATTATTACACATACAAATTTGAATCTCCGGCCTTTTGCCGGAACCACCAACCTGTACCTATCATCAGATCCAATCTAGGGTTTTTCCTTCTCCAGATCTTCCTTTTTCCTCTCTCATTTTCTGTTCCTATTCGATTCATAATCGCCAACCGATTTTTGAAATCTCGAAAGGGAGATTTGTAGGGATCAATAGAGTCAGATATTGCGATGGAGGCGATCGAGGAGTTGTCTCAGCTATCGGACTCGATGCGCCAGGCGGCGGCTCTTCTCGCGGACGAAGACCCTGAAGAAACCTCTTCTTCCTCTAAACGCCCTTCGACTTTCTTAAACGTTGTTGCTTTAGGCAGTGTTGTGAGTCTCTTTCTCTCTGTAGTAGAACGGATATGGATCTTCTGGATCTGGTTAGGTTTCGTTTGCATTGGAGAATCCATGGGTCTTTCGCGTGTGGATTCTTTATTATTATTATTATTATTATTATTTTTCTTTTTTCCAAAATAGAGATTAAAAAAAGATTGATGGAAATGATGTTAAAGAATAATTAGATGTTTTATAATAAAACATAATTGGCAATTCAGAACTTCTGATTAGGAAATATTTCTGGAGAAGGAGAACTAAACAAGCCATTTAAATTGCCTTTTCGATTACGAATGAGCATGGATTCTTATAATGTACGATAGATTGTTGTGTATGATTTAGAGTGCGAGTGTTTCGTTTTATTTTATGTTTATATGTAAACTCTCAGTCAGGAGTGTAATTTATCTGTTGATTTTGGATATTAGAATTACGCGAGTTGGGAGATATTGAAATGTTTTCTCAAAATGCTAGCTAAACCTTATTCTTATTTATAATGTTCAAAGTAAAGCACTCGTACAACTGGGTTTTATTTCAATGACTTCAAATTAGCTGCTCATTTCGGTGCTGATTGGTGACTGTTTTGCGTTTATCTGGGATTTAAGAGGTCTAAAGGGTTTTCTCTTTCCTGGATGCATTGATCAGGGAGCTGGTAAATCTGCTGTGTTGAACAGTCTAATTGGACATCCTGTCTTGGTAAGATTTGTTTATTTAAATCCTCTTCATTTTGCATTGTAACTATATATTGTTTCTTATAAGACTCATCTTACCGTACTTTCGACAGCCAACGGGTGAAAATGGTGCTACTCGAGCTCCTATAAGCCTTGAGTTGAATAGAGATGCTTCTTTAAGCAGCAAAGCAATCATCTTACAAATTGACAATAAATCTCAACAAGTTTCTGCAAGTAAGATCTTCTATTGAACTGCTATTAATTCTTTATTAGTTTTAGTGTTCTTGTGTTTTCATCATTTGATGTAAAATCGTTGACATATCTGGCACTGGATGCACATTGTGTCAATTGATCTGTTCATTGCTATTATTGTCCATTATATTTCACATTGGGGCATTGTAGGTGCCCTTCGGCATTCTCTACAGGACAGGCTGAGCAAAGGTTCATCAGGCAGGAGTCGTGATGAAATATATCTTAAACTTCGTACTAGTACAGGTTGGTTCACCATCTTGGTATCATAATCTTTTTGTTCACGATTGATTCCTTCATATTTTGATTTGAGCAAAGTGTTTACTATTGGTGACTGCATGCTTCAGTTGGCATAAATATTTTAGAGGCCTTCCTTAGTAATTTTAGAAGCTTGATCTTATTTTTGCTACTGCAATGAACATTGAATTTTTAGATAGAGAAATCAGAAACAGCTAAACACATACATGCATGTGTACTTGAGTCTAAAAAATTAAGTAGGAAGTTATTAAGAACTTTTTCTCCCCATATTGTGTATAGAGTAATGTTCATAAAATAATGAATTTCAGGAGGTAGTGAAGTATGCTATTAGCTCATGGGACAGTGAGCTTTTTGTAAGTGAGTTGGATAAAAGGGATGGTCAGGTTTCAAGAAAATTGCAGGGACCCACTCCCTTAGGATGTGATTAGATTTTTGTGTTTGGACGAACATAAGCTGGCAAACTGGATTTAGGAAGAATATGTTGAAGAAGGGTATGTTGAAGAAGGATATGCCATTACATATTTTTTTTCTTGGCTGCATTATGTGTAATGATGGTTTCCATTATAGAAATGTGCCTTGAAACTCTTTTTGTCTTCCATAGCAGTTATTTTCCTAATCACTTTTTATTTGTATAATTATTCCAGCTCCACCATTAAAATTGATTGACTTACCTGGATTGGATCAAAGAATAATGGATGACTCAATGGTAAGTGGCTTAAAAATTTTACTCTTTCGACTGGGACCCCACCATTAAACTTTTTTTTTGGGGGGGGGGGGTTGGGTTGGTGTGTGGGAGGAGGAGGGCTTTTAATGTGCATTCAATATGCTTTTTTTTTGTGTCTTCCATGGTTCATTTGATATGTCACTGCTGCTGCAGATTAGTGAGTATGTTCAACACAATGATGCTATTTTGCTGGTTATAGTACCTGCCACTCAGGCACCAGAAATTTCATCATCTCGAGCACTCAGAGCTGCCAAAGAATATGATGCTGAAAGTGGGTCACATTATTTAACTTCCATATTTCTTTTGTGAAAACTAAGAACTTCAAGTTTTAGGATTGCTTGTTTTTTTTAATCTATCATTCATTATTGATTGTAGGCACTAGAACAATTGGTGTTATTAGTAAAATTGATCAAGCGGCTGAAAATTCAAAAGCCCTTGCAGCTGTTCAGGCTCTTTTGTTGAATCAGGGACCGCCTAAAACATCTGATATTCCATGGGTTGCTCTAATTGGTCAGTCTGTCTCTATAGCCTCGGCACAATCTGGAAGTACCGAGAACTCTTTAGAAACAGCTTGGCGTGCAGAGAGTGAAAGTTTAAAATCTATACTGACTGGGGCTCCGCAAAGCAAGCTTGGTAGAGTAGCTTTGGTGGATGCCCTTGCTAGCCAGATTCGTAACCGTATGAAACTTAGGCTTCCGAACCTCCTTTCCGGGTACTTCTTTGATTTCCTTTCTTTTCCGACAAGTTTATATTTTCTTTACTTAATACTTCTTTTTGCTATCATTCAAAGAAAAAATATACTCTAAAAAAAAAGCAAAAGGAAAATATATTGTAGCTGCTGCAAGTCATGTTTTTAAATGCACGCCACATTAGTCAGGGGCTAATTAGTAATCACAATGATAGCATGTTACACATTAAATCCTGTCAAAATATGTATTTAAAAAATTTACTTACTGAATGGTACCTGTTGCAGTTTAAATCTTACTATTTAAATTGATAATTGGCCACATCTAGCATGCTGGATAGGCTTCCCAAAGACAGAATAAAATACATAAGAAGTTCTTTCTTTCTTCTACTTTTACCAGTGTCATAAAACATGATTACTTTCAATTACATCTATTTAGGATTTATAATTTGCACGGCCCTGTTTTCATTTTCCACAGTCGTGCATATTTTTGTATCCGATACAAATTTAGAAATAAAACCTCAAAACAGTTTTTTGTAACTTAACAGGGTCTGTTCATAGCAATTTCAATGGTATATATACATAGCAGTCTTGGATTACTTGATGCATAAGAGCTTCCGAATTTTGCTTTTGTGATGCTTAATCTTGTGCTAGAGCATTCTTTTATATGCATTTTTCTTTTCCTCGATAATGTTGCAGGCTTCAGGGAAAGTCTCAGATAGTTCAAGATGAACTATTGCGGCTTGGTGAACAAATGGTCCATAGTGCTGAAGGTACAAGAGCTATTGCTTTGGAGCTCTGTCGTGAATTTGAGGATAAGTTTCTCCTCCACTTAACTGGTGGTGAAGTAAGTATCTTCTTTCGTAGCAATGCCTTTATTATTTGTGTACCTGTTTACTTAAAAAGATATTGCTGTGTTCATAAACTGCAAGATGATAAGCAAATGAGAAAAAAATTGATTTACCTATGAAGGTAATATTTCTTTTAGGCAAGAGTATCTTTTTGACACAATGTTGATATTGAATGCAGTTTCTGGTTTCCAATACAATATTAATTAGGTTGGTAATCTTTTCTGAGAATAAAAAGTAACTTTTATCAGTCAATGTATCAACTAGGGGCTACCCATATGCATAAGCATAGAAAATTACATGGCAAAAATTTAATTTAGTTTATAATTGTTAAAGTAGTTGAGTGAAATTAGAACGGAGTACCTGTGAATCAACGTCTTGAATTTCTTGGAATCAGTAGGTAAATTTTTCTTAGGAATGTTGTTGTGGTGTATGTAGGCAAATTATAATGATTCTTTTTAATAATGGATTTCAGCTTATCCTCCTTAATAATGTTTAATTGCAGGGAAGTGGTTGGAAAGTTGTTGCAAGTTTTGAAGGCAGTTTCCCTAACAGGCTTAAGCAGCTTCCTTTGGATAGACATTTTGATATAAACAATGTCAAAAGGGTAGGTTCTGTATTTAACTTCACTCCTTTTCCTGCTTTCTTTAATGTTTCAATGTGTTCTTGATATTGTTTATAATTTTAACGATCTTTTTTTAACAATTGAACCAGATTGTATTAGAAGCAGATGGTTATCAACCTTATCTTATCTCTCCAGAAAAAGGGTTGAGGTCCTTGATAAAAGGTGTTCTGGAGCTTGCAAAGGAACCATCACGTCTATGTGTTGATGAGGTATGTTAGTTTATATCTTTTAAGCTTTGTTTTTAATAAAGCTTTCTATTTCTTTTATGTGGCATGTAAGCCAGTGTGTTTGAATGTAAATAATAAAGTTGAGCCTTTTCTTTGGATAAGTTTTCACAACTATCATTTCTTTTGGGTGGTTATAAAATTATGCAAAACTATTATTGTCATTTACTGGTTGGAATGGTTTCTCTCAATGTTATGTGCTGATTTATTGGATTGCTTTTGAATCAGGTGCATCGGGTACTAGTAGACATAGTTTCTGCTTCTGCAAATGCCACTCCTGGTCTTGGAAGATATCCTCCTTTTAAGAGAGAGGTGGCAATTCTCTTTTGGTGTTTATTTATGCTGTGTGTTTTGGAGTAGGGTTCTTGTCATTTGGATTTTCTGACCATGTTATTTTTTCTTTTGACATTTTCAATAAGGTTGTGGCAATTGCAACTGCTGCACTTGATGGTTTTAAGAATGAAGCTAAAAAGATGGTCGTTGCACTGGTTGATATGGAGCGTGCTTTTGTTCCACCTCAACACTTCATTCGACTGGTGCAAAGGAGGTAATGTCAACTATTCTCCACTTTTTGTCCTTTTTCTCCAATTTCTTTTTTTTTTTGTTGGGGAACAAAGATAATTCTCAAGTGCTGAAGTGTCTATACTCTTTCACTTGTAACTATTTCTGTGTCTTTACATGACCTATGAACTGATACATTTTATCTGGAATTCGGGGTTTATATAGAAATCTTTTATCTGTAATATGATGAACATTATATCATTGCATTTAATTGATGACTTGGTTGGTGAAAGGACAGTTGATGCCTAATTCTAGTTCTTTGTATCTTTTCTTGTTTTGAGTGTTGGTAGTGGAAGAAATATATTGGGACCTCATTCATCAGAATGTGGTCAAGTATTTGTTGTACTTGTGTTTCACTCCATAGTATTCTCATATATTTATGATGATATGATTATGTTAAAATTGATAGCGGATTGATAGGAAATTGAATGTTTTCTGTTGTGACTTTATTTATGAATTTGCTTTAATTGGATTCAATAGTCAGGTTCCCCTGCCACTTTGGGAATATTAGGTTAGGTTATTGTAGATTCAATAAGTCTCCTTGTTTGTTTCATAACGTGCCCGCAGGTTTCTCTTTTTATTAAGTATATAATTATTTAAAACGTGTTCATATGTTGATATTTTTTTATATATATTTTTTTAAATAAAAGTGCGGAGTTATATTGATGTTAGAGTGCCAATGGGGCACAACCCATTTACAATGTATTTTTATATATTGTATACCACTGCATTTATATCTATATTTTATCTTTGGTGGTTCATGCAAAGCAGCATGTTTGGTTTATTATCATGTCTGTCTGATTCTTCCTTTTCTAAATTTTTGTCAGAATGGATCGGCAACGGCGTGAGGACGAGCAAAAGAATCGATCGTCGAAAAAGGCACTCGAGGCAGAGCAGTCCATTTTAAATAGGGTTTGTGTTGATCTGCTGTTGTAAGATTTAACTTGGCTTGATTTGATGATTGAAATATTCCTATTATATTCTCTGCCTTTTCTTTTTAGGCAACTAGTCCTCAACCAGATCGAGAACAATCTGGTGGAAGCTTGAAATCGATGAAAGATAAATCTAGCAAACAAGATAAGGATGCCCCAGAAGGACCAGCATTGAAAACTGCTGGGCCTGGTGGTGAAATAACAGCAGGTCTGTGCTCAAACATTGAATATTTGGTCTAACTAATGATTAGGCTGTGACCAAGTTGTTTACATGGATAGTTGAGGCTTTCTTTCACTGTTTCACAAGCTGTTGTCATGTTTGATAGATTCCAATCTCATTTTGATAACCATATTTTGCGTTAGACAGGCGAAACATATGCTCCAAAATCATGCCATGAAAAACATACATATACATGATAATTATTAAAAGCTATAGGAGCCAAAATAAGTTCATGGTTGCTTTGATGTATAGTCAAAAGAAATCAGCAATAAGGAACGAAAAGAAGGGAACTAGGTCACTTCACATCTGTGTGACACTGCCCCAAGCAGCAGTGCTGGTTACTCTCCTAATATTCTCGAGGTCAAAGATTTCAATCAAACAGCCGTCAGGATCCCTAATAAATGCTATCCCTTTCATTATCCCATCATCTGGTTTTTTGACAAATCTCATGATATTTATCATTGCGAATCATTTGCTGATTTATTTTTTTAACAAAAATTTTATTCACTAATGTACTGTTTGTGTGCTTCCTGTGGTTACATCTGATTGTTTTGGGGACATAGTTGAGAAGCGGTCCCAAAAGAAAAAAAATTGTCTTTAAATCAAGTACCATTTGTTTGGTTGAACTCACGTAGTTTTCGGTCGTTTTGCTGTATCATGACTTAAAAGTCATATTCATTCTCCATAAGATTAAAAGAATGTGAAAATACGATCAAACTATAATTTATACAAAAATGTTTCTTTATTCGAATAAATAAATATAGAAGTAATAGAAATAAAAAATATATCTAACTGTTGGAGGTGAGGTGGACAACATTGCCATGGGCCAGTATGGCCATCAACTGTGTGACAACGTAACCACCTTTGTGTGATTTCTGGCCATGTGCCTGAGATCTCACGACTAACAGGGTGGGTTTTGTTAGATCAATTAGATTTGGCATGTGTCTGTTTGGATCCTCCACATATGGTTGGGTTAGTTGGTGAGGAAGATGGAGGTGAGGATAGAAAGGGGATAGAGAGAGACTGGATCTAGCCTTGGTTTGGCTGGAGAGGGTAATTGAGATCGAGAGGCGAGAAGGGGAGAAAGAGGTGCCAAATGGAGTTGGTGGAAGAGGAGAGAGAGGGGTGGTTCTGTAATTTACTGAAAAAAGTGAAGATATCTTTAAAATTCAACTGTAAATTACTGCTTTGGTTTTATATAAACTAGACACATGAAGCCCACAAAGAAGCACCCCATTAAGTAGGAAGTAACTAGAGAGATGAAACAGAAGCAGGTTTCTAATTTGCTTGGTTTGTCGACAGTGCTATTTAGGCCCAGTGCTTGAAGTTAACTTTTCCTCTCTTTAACTTTTTACTGTGTATTTTTGTACTTAGTTGAGAGTGTTGGCTTAGAAGAATTATTTTCCTCATAGAAGTCAAATTGGGTCTTATAAGTCCTACCTTAATGAGGTAACTTATCCTCGTTAAGATGATAAACTTGTAAATCTTTTTGGATCATCTGGAAGTAGAGCAATAGAAGGGCTTTTGAGGGGACAATCTAACTTTGTTAACTCTAAAGATTCTTGGTTTCAGACTCTGAGTTTTTTGATCAAGAGTCATCCACTTTATTTTGAGGATCTCAGGGGCTTTATAGATATTTTGATAAACTTGTAAATCTTTGTACATGGGTTGAACCCCTTTGGTGCTCTTGAGTATACACATTATTTGTATTTAAAAAAAAAAGACTTCTCTTGATTTTAGTTTGAACGACTTTGATCCCTGGTCCTTCATGCAACAATACAAGGGTCTTGGAATTCAATTTTAAGATGTTTTCATTTTCTTTTTCGCTTTTCTGACAAAGTTGGGGAATAAACTTTCTTTCTTAGATGGATGATGAGTCTTTATTCTTTCTTGGATTCTTATCATGGTAGCAAGGAAGGTCCATGATGTGCAATTTTGGCAAGCAGGTCACATGAAATTCAGCTTATCTGTGTGATGTATCTTTTATGTACTCAGGATGGAATTTGATTGAGGGTATGAAATGGAATAAGAAATTATTCCTTCATTAAGTTGACTTAAATCATGTACTTACGATTCTATGTTCTGCTTTTTGTTGAAAAATATTACACATGCTCTGCTATTTCTTGTCTGTTTGTGTTATAACCTGCTTAAAAAATTAAAATAACAATATGCACGCCGAAAACAGATTAACAGACTCTAAATATACACCTAATTATTGCTCCAAAATGGTGAAGCAAAATAAATATAACGTTTGCATGGCTTGAGACCTCTGTGACTTCTATAGTTTGTTAGATAATTAGTTAGTTAGACAATTATTCCTCTAATTTAAGTTGTTCTAGGATTAAATTTGAGCTTGTTTATATCATATTTGGGAATTTCAGAGTTGTTTTGAGATCAGGGGTTCTTGTAAAAATGACCACTCTTTTTTTTTAGATACAGAACCCAATTTAATTCTAGAGTCCCTTGTGTTCCACAATATTTTCATCCTCATTTTTTGTTTTATTTTTTCCTGTATGTGCAGGATATCTACTGAAGAAAAGCGGTAAGACAAATGGGTGGAGTAGACGGTGGTTTGTTTTGAATGAAAAAAGTGGCAAGGTCAGCCTGTAGTATTTTTGCCTCACAATGACTAATGATGTTTTCAATTTTTTATTACTATTTTGATATGATCCATTGCATTGTCAAACTTTTCAATTTAAACTCTTCCCTATGTTTTTTCTTGTTATGAATATCTATTTCCAAACTTACAATGTTATATTTTTTAAACTGATTGTCATGTGCTTGTTTTATCATCATTTTTTTTTTATTGAGAATACCAAAGAAATAATGGTTTCATTTGATAAACAAAATTGGCACTTATGTTATGCACATGTAGAGGTAACTGTTAGAAGAACTAAATCATGTAGAAATGTGTATAAAAAGAAATTATGAAACTGAATCATGCATTCATGTCGCTCGGCCCTGGTGCAGTTCCTTTAGGTCTATAATGTTAGTTACGTATATTATTGCTTGTTGCGTCAACATTTCTAGCTAGAATTTCATTCGATTAACATGTTGTCTTTCAATATCAATTTTGTTTTCCAGCTTGGTTACACCAAAAAAGAAGAAGAAAGGAACTTCCGTGGTGTAATAACTTTGGAGGTATGATGTTCCCCTTCTTTCTTGAGATGTCCTTTTTTTTTTTAAATCTGTTGTTGGCAGTATTACATTTTTTATGATAATGATTGAAAGTGTGTTAGGTTATTTGACATAGTTCAATGAATCACAAAGTTGGAGTTTTTTTTTTTTTACTTAATGAGATTTGATGTAGATCTTTGTCCTTCTTGAAAGTCTCACGATTTATTAGATAATGATAGTGATTTTGAGA